TAGTGTGATCAGCTCATTGAGAAGACATTCGAGCAAGATTTGAAAGAGGTGAGGGAGATAGCCTCTTGGAGACCTGAAGGAAAAGCATTCCAGGCAGGAAGGCTAGCCATTCTTAAGGCTTTAAGATGGACCAACACCTGATAGGTTCTAGGAAGCAAAGCAGACACCAGACGGGGGTGGCTGCAGAGGGGTCCATAGTTTAGGTGAGAGGAGTAGGAAATGAGACCAGAGATGAAAGGGGAACAAGCCACGAAAGATCTTGCAGACCTTGTAAGGACAGGGGCTTTTACTCTGAGAGAGATCGAGAGCCGTGGAGGGGTTTTGAGCAGAGAAGTGACTTGACTCACTGACTTCCCTTAATCAGATCGCTCTGCCTTTTTGTCCAAACAGACCGGAGAGAGCAGGTAGAGAAGCAGGGAGGGCTGCTGGGAGAGGAGGACGATGGCTCTGACGAGGTGGGGGCAGTGGAGACAGGGGTGAGAGGAGAGGGTGAGGGTGCAGAGTCAGAGCCTGCAGGATTTGCCGACAGAGTGGACTATGGTGTGAGAGGGAGGGGCTGAGGCTGATTCTGAAGTTTCCGGCCTTGTGGAAGGAAGGAAAGTTCAACCAAGATGGAACACTGCAGGTGGAGCCTGTTTCAGGGAAAAGATCAGGAGCTCAGTTTTAGGCACGCGGGGTTGGAGATGTTGAAGGGAATGTTAAGTACTAAGTCTGGATCCAGGTAAACTCTCTGGGCTGGAGGACTGCATTTGGATGTGGTACCAAATAAGATTTTTATAGCATGTGATTAATATGAAAATATAGATGTTATTTTAAAAATACAAAAGTATGTGGAATAAAACTAAAATTTCTCCTTCACTCTCTTACTCCAAACTCCTCTCCCTAGTAGTAAGGGCTATTATGGAGCTATTATGCATTAAGAAACTAAGATTCAGAGTGCTCAATGCACCATATTTGAGAATCAGAACCAACCACTGTTTTTCATTTCCACATGCATCTTACCACATGAGAAAAGTGTTTAGACTCGTACAGGTATTTTTTATACATTTTTTATATGTGTGTACCTTCTCTTTACCCATACAGTAATGTAATTTCCGGAACGGCTACTTTCTACCATGATGGTGGTGAAGATTTCACAGCTGTTTGGAATTACCAATATACTTAGATTTCCAGGTCTTTTAATGTGAAATAAACTGTTTTTTTAATTGATTCTATATTGCATTTTTTAGCCATTTGGGATGTATCTTAGCTAAGCAGTGCCATCTACTTAAGAATATTATTGATTATAAGGTACACTTTAAGCACCATAGTAATAATTCTTTAGACTCAAAGCTTTCATCTTAAAATAGTACAAAGTTTCTATATCTTCCAGCAAAAAAAAAGATAACCTTCAGAATTTGAACTAATGCATTTCTGTTTTGTTGAGTTGGCAATTATTCTGCATAAGGAAGGTAATGATGACTTCTCAAATATCCAGTTTCTTATGAGTTTAGAGCTTCAGCTGTAATGAAATTCAATCATCTTTCTAGTCCTAGGACTCTCTATTTCTCCCCTGAAATCAAAGAGAAAAAATTAATTGAGGGGTTTTCCCATCGTTTTGTTTGATTTTTCACAGAGTTCTGTCTGCAACATGTATCAGGCACCTCCACACATGTGGACGGACGGCTATGTGACTCATTCCAACTGACTGCCGGTTTTGCAGGTACTGATCCATCAAGGCGACCAGTAAAGAGGGAAAACCAGGAAAGAGTAAAACATGCATTCTCAAGAAACTTACAGTCCCACTGAGCCAATAAAAATTTACCTGTAGGGAAACATATTACTGTGAGTGATTCTCAAACCAACTGAAGCAAGATATTTTGCTGTGGGAAAAAAAAGTAACGAATGAATGCTTTCAATTGAAAGTTTACTCTACAAATATTTCTTGAAACTTTGGCATGACTACTGTTTTGTTTTGTTTTTTTTTGAGAGAGAGAGAGAGAGAGATCCATCACACAGCAAAATGAATAAGTCCCAGAAACAATTATTAACAAAAAAAATTGAGGATCAGCTCACCACACATAGTTCAACCACTAGTTCAGCAACTTGATTTTGGGGATAGATGAGCTCCTTCTTGTCATATTACTTTGTGTCTATTTTTGCTGATGAAGTATTCCTTTTCACAGGATCAAATAAAATGACACCTTGCAAAGAACTGCATCACCTGCACAAATTTGAAATCATGTTCTGTACTTTTTGTTCTTCATGAGCAAATGAGTTCAAAGGGCAAAGCAAAGGTCACATCTGACTTCTCTTTCTTCCTCCTCTTCCTCTCCCTTCCCCAGTTGCCTCCCTCTTCTCCTCCACTGTCCAGTGGCAGTTTTCCTCTGGGCTCTCTCCCACATCCTGCCTCTGCATTCCACTCAACACCACCCCCCGCGCCCCCCATTCATACCAGAACAACCCCAATAACCGCCAAACTGATTCCCTTCCTAACAAATCCTGCCCACTCAAACCCGTCTGTCACCCTTCCTGCAGACTCACCTTTCTGCAACACAGATCTTCTCCAAGCTCTTTTCCTGTTCAAAATGTTAATGATTCCTTATTCCCCATGGAATAATATCCCAAATTCCCCATTTAATAATGTCCAGAAGTCAGAATCAAATCCTTCAAAGTACAACAATTTCTGGTCTTTGGTTAATATTTGAACGCAAGGTTTTAATACACATGGCTATGTACAACCAAGCCCTCTAAAGAAATTTGGCAAAAAATTTCTCACATCAATGGAATAAGTAGATCAGTTTACAATGAATGTGAGCTTTTAAAATAACAGGTTCTCCTTTGGGAAGTGGTGGTCGGTGGCTACTTAAACTTGTTTTCTGTTCCCTTGAGGAACAAAGGTGATCTACCTTGACATCTGTGGATTAAATACCAGTATTCCCATCACTTAGAAATGGTCAGTTTTCCTGTATTATGAATTGTCCTGTCACTGGAGGTTTACTGGAACCAAAACCGAGTGTGTTTATCAGGACCGTGGAAAGTCAGAGCAGTCAGGGCCACGTAACTCAATGCTTGCTGTCAAAAGAGAATGAGACTGAGCATGCTGTTTCACAAAGGCCTGACATTGCCTGTCTACCCTATCATTTGCCATTGATTATAGGAATTAAAATATGTTCTAGAAAAGTCTATCCATATGAACTTTATGCCAAATGATTGTCACCCTCCAGGGAAGCATGACAGAGTACCGCTCTGTTCTTTCCGTGTTGTTTTACTCTTTATATTCTAATAAACACATAATACTTTAAGAATCTGGAAAAATGTCTATTTTTAACAATAAACTTTAAAGTTTTCTTCAAAACGTCATCTAAACAGTTACCTTTGCAATTTGGTGTTTGTTGAATATTTTGAAAGAGGCTAGAGTGGCTTGTCCCCTCTACTGAGTTAATTTCTAAATGACATCTTTTGGTACCTGTTAAAAATAGCCACCAGACTCAGAGCTCAACAGTGAGGGTTTGTTCATTCAATCTAATTACTGTTGACTAATCTGAATTTAGAATATTATCTCAACCATTAATTAGTCATTCCTCCAAACAGCCTGAGGGGAGAGATAAGCACACTCAGTGAGTTGCGCAGTGAGACGGCCACGGTGCCCATGGAAGAGGCAGAAGCCCTGACGTGCTCCTGACTGCCAGGAAGCAGGCCATGTGTCTGGGCTACTGCACATCCAATAAAAGACACGAGTGAAAATCAGAAAGAAAAAAACCTCCAATTTTTCCAATCCATAAGCGCGTGAGCTTATATTTACTAAAATTTTATAGCATTGATCAGTTGAAAACATTTACAAATGCAACATCAGCTCTATCCTACCACTTTTTACAGCAACCCGAGTATAAAATGGGCATCATTGTGTATATGCTTTTAAAATGTTGACAGATCCCCCCAAATGTACTGATAGAAGTGTCATAGCAAAGATTAGGCAATAACCAAACAATAAATACTTACTAAATATCCACATGGACAGGACTCCAGGCTGGAACTAGGAACAAGGGATGTGGCAAGAAATCATACACCTACCACCACCTTTGCTCCAAGGTGCTTATAGTTTGCTTCATAAAAACCCCAGTCTTTATGGCACACGAAACTTCAGAGTACTGTAGAAAAACTTTTCCTTGTATATTCCCAGCTTTAGAATAAACATTTTTTTCTACATCTTTCTCCACAAAAACACAAATTTTTTGTAGTCATTTTATTAAAGTTCAAGGTGCTTGCTACACATGTTACTTCAGAAGGTTAGAAAACCACAGGAATTGGTCCTGAAATTATTTCTTTCATTATTTAAAGAATGCTCTCTTGAACACTTTCTTTCAAGAAGAAAAATACAGAGGAATAATTTAAGAAAACACATTTTGAATAATTGAAAACTTTCCTAGCTGGCCATGTACAGATAACAGCAGTGACGAGCGTGCGCCATCATTTCCCACTGCACTAAGCCACAGCACGGAATAACTCTCTATGGTCTTCTCAAAGACTCTTCCGTCTCTCTCAAATAGGCATGCTTGATGTTTTTAATGGAAGAGCATGCTCAATACCTTTCCAGGGAGTGTAAATCCTGTTTATACTCTTGTCTGCCCCCGTTTATGGCTTCACAAGAATTTAGCCTGTGTTCACAGACTGTCCTGATTCCCTTTTTTGGCTGGTAGAGCCTCTTCAGAACTCTTTAGGGGGGAAAAATGGCTCTTTCTTCCTTGATCCCAGGGTGAAATCAAAAATGAAAATAACAGGCTTAAACGGCCCAACCTCCTTCATGTCACCTCCGACTCCTCATTCAAAGAGGTACTGGAGACGGCAGGTGGAGTTATAATTATAGATTTTAAAAAAGCCCCATCAGCAGCTGCTGCTCCTGTTTGTTCCCGGCTATAACTGTCATCAGTGGGCAAATTGGCATAAACAGGCCTCCACAAGTGGAAAATCATTTAACCCCTGTCCTTGTCTGGGTCCTCTCAGTGGCCAGAGAACAGAAAGGAAATCTGACTGTACATGAGCAAAGGGTGAAACCGAGAGTGCCACACCAGCCTGGAGGCACCTGTTCCAGGGGAGCCTGAAGATTTTCTTTCCTGTCGGAGACTCCAAATCAAATAAATAGGTTAGTGCACAAAGAGTATACATCTGCATTTTAATTCTGACCTCTACTGTATCTGATCTTTGTTTTTCTGACAGAGCTTAGTGAGAAGGATGAACTGTTCCGTGAAGGAAAGTTATTTGAGGACTGTTATTTAAAACTACTATGAGAACAAATTATGAAATGGGCTGAATTTATAATGGTCCTCTCCCAAGTTTGGCTGTATTCACATTAGACAAATAGAGAAGGTAAAGATGGAACTGTGAAACTGGTTTTGTGGCGTGAGTCCCATCCTTTTGTAATGCCACTCACTCATGCCAAAAGGCCCTCTGTTTTTTTTTTTAATTAAAATTAGTTATGTTGAAGGCTTATGTTTGTGATTACAAAAAAACCACTGTGAATGTAATTCCAGAGTTTTGTTTCCTTAGGGAAGTTGGCAAGTTAGAATTGTATTGTTTCCTTAGCTCTGAATAAAAGCAGAAGATTTTCTTGTTTATACTAAAATGTACGCTACAGGCTACTTTTTACAAGAAGTTGGCTGTATGATTTATTTCTTGTGTCTCATACAATGCTACTTAAAAGCTCTATAATTTCAGTCTGCTTAGCTGCATAAGGCTCTCACAGATCCTTTGAGAAAACCAAAAGGTTTCAAAGAAGTCTCATTTTTTTGGTGTGTGCTCCATGTTCGAGAGCAGCATTTACAAACAAAGATTAACTTGGGGCCACCTTCTCAAAACCTGAATGCTTAATCTCTTGGTGAAAAGCAACGGAATTCCAGAGAATTTACTGAAAACTGAGCTTTGGGGCCCAGTTCTCATCCTACCCACATCCCTGGGACAGATCCAAGTGGAAAGAGCCCTAAAGAATGACCTTGTTTTTCTCAGCTCCAAACACAAAGTGAACTATCCGTAAGCATTTTGTGCTACACTTCTCCATGGGAAAGCATGCCTTTCTTAGTACCACTGCAGCCCAGCATTTTGTCCACCTTTTGAAGTACCTAGAGTGCTCACTGTGCACTAGGAGCTCCATTAAAGAGACCCCCACATCCGACTAAAATTGGCAAAAATAACCCATCAATTAAATTCCCACAAGGGGCTTGTTTATTTCTAACAGTATCTCCTGATTAAAAAAAAAAAGCCGTAACTTCCTCTTAGGAAGTTTAAGCACGAAATAAATACCTCTTTACCTACTTTAGCAACGAAAGCCCCAAAGAATAACTTTGGCTACTGCTTTTGAAAATGTCAATCAATATAGCATATCAATACTCTAAATCTTCCTGTGGGTTAAGAAGGTATATGATAGGTAACATTACAGCATATCTCATATACCTCACTTAATCATTCAAATATTTTTAGAGCAATGGCTATATAATCTAAAAATAATACTCAGAAATTAAGGCAAGCTTACAATTTCTAGTATTACTCTTTCCAGAATTGCTTTTCCTCCTTTTTTTCTACTAAACCATTTAGCCCTACGGTGGTGGTTACCCCCAGATTCCAAATTGTACAAACTGAGAAAGGCAACGGAAGGGGAGCTGGCTGACTGGTTGCTGGTGTGGGTTTCCTGTGAGTTACAGATTTGTGCTTGGTCTTAAACATGGCTTCTTACTTGTATTTTGTCTTCTTGCTCTTCTAGAAAAAAAACTATCCAAGATGACTGTCACTTACTCCAGTAAAGTAGCCAATGCGACTTTTTTTGGATTTCATAGGTTACTCCTCAAGTGGAGAGGCAGCATCTACAAACTACTGTACAGGGAATTTATTGTTTTTGCTGTTTTTTACACAGCAATAAGTTTGGTGTACAGGTACTTTCCTTTGCATGTCTCCTTAAGTGGCCATCAAATATCAAGTGAGAATACAGTCTCAGAAATCTGAGCCCTGCGGTTGCCGCTGACCTTTGTGCGTAGGTAACTTCCTTTGCATGATCCTCTCTGTGGCCTCCTTCTCCTCCGGACAGGGCGGTTGAATCCACACCCACCATTTTTAGGATGTTAAATAGACTCTAACTGTCATGTTCAAGTGGTTCTCATTCCAGCCCCACAGAAGTGATCATGATGAGCTGTTAGTCATGGGTCAAGAATGTTGCTATAGGCACAGAATGGAAGAGTTATGCTTAGATCTTCGCTACATAGTGATTTTGAATGGCAGAGTCTACAAATGAATGATTACATGTGCCTCTCTGAACTATGTCCCTCACAGTTTGAATCTGTGACTTGAGAGCATGCAGCAACTACCTGTGTAACTGGCATGTTTGTGAATAATGTCTATCAGGCATACATACCTGATACGGGCACTTTCCTTCCTTCTGCCTGGAATGACAAGATCTTCTCCAGGATGGTGCCCACCAGCCTCACCACAACCCCAACTAAAGAAAAGACCTGAAAACTATGTCTTTTCTTTATATCTTCTGAGTTTGGGGCATGTCATATTCACAAAAGGACATGACATTTATTCTTCATAACCACAACTTATGCCTGTCAGACTGACAGAAAGTTTGAGCAATATTATGTCCAAGAAATATTTTTATAACTAAAAATTCTACTTTTTAAAAAGATTTTATATATTTATTTTTAGAGAGAGGGGAAGGAAGGGAGAGAGGCAGAGAAACAGTGCCCAATGGGGGACCAGGCCTGCAACCCAGGCATGCAGCTTGACCGGGAATAGAACCAGCAACCTTTCACTTTGTGGTACGGCGCCCAACCAACTGAGCCACACCAGTCAAGGTTAAAAATTGTATTCTTAATAAAATTTTATCAGCATTATAAAAGAAAAGCTTTATGAGTTTTTTAAATTAAAATTGGTTGTATACATTTCTTCTCTGGGGAGGAATTAAAACTTAAAATAGGAAGCTAAAGGTTTTTGAGGCTGTATTTCCACCTTTTCTATGTACATCAGTTTGTTATTCTCCTGCATACAAACAAACAAATTTGAATAGCATTGCTCTCACCTACATTCTTCCTTGCAGCAATAGGGCCCCATCTGAAGATGAGGGATGTTAATTTGGTTGACTGGTAATTCCCAAAAGCAGAATAGGAAGATCTATTTAGCTAAATATCAAATAAATACACTACACTTCAAATAAATGTATATATGGGTATATATTTTGGCAAAAAGTCTTTAAATTTAATGTTTTATTAAAAACCTCTAATAATTTTTCAGATTTGTCTTATAGTACTTTTTGACAACTTATCTATGTGTCATCTAATCCTTCAAAATACAAGATGGTGGAAGACACATGATGTTGTCTCAGTTTATTTGTACTAATATGAATTTATTGCTGCTACTGCTGCTTAGGATAGAATAGCCCTCAGAGCAGTTGCATTGTAGCCAGAAATGCTCCGTGGAGCTTCAGCTTTTGCTCCGATACCTTACATGTACCCCACAAAATTATATGTGTGATTTTTGTAAAAGCCAAAGAGTGCTTACACTTATGATAATAACCATTATTTAAGTCATTCTTCATTTTTTGAAGTCCAATTGTTAAAGCTTGTTAAAATAGGTCCTAATACCTTGATCAAAGGAATGCCAAGAACTATAGGCTGAATTTGTCAAGAAAGTCAAACATGTATAGAAAAATATAGACATAGTTTCGGTCTCATGTCTACTGATGCCCTAAGTTTTTTTGGTCCTATTAAAAGTAAATAAATATACTTATTGAAAATTGTAAGACAGCACAAGAAGTCATTAATTTGATTGTATCTCTTCCCATTTGTTGTATGGATTTGAGAAAATAATTGCCGCACTTACTTTCTAACTAGTAAAATTTCTATGTGTCTATTAGCCAAATATTTTTCCTTTGGCCAATTATTAATCATAACAATCACTTTGTTATTAAATACAATACCCTATGTTACATTGTTTTATATAACATATACTCTTTAATTCACACAGCATCCCTGATGCATCAATGTTATTATCTCCATTTACACATGAGACACGGAGGCTCACAGAGATTTAAAAATGTGCTCAAATTCTAAATCTGTAAGTGGGAGATCTGGGATTCAAACCCAGCTTCCCCTGACCCTGTGGTCTGTGCTGTCCACAATCAAATCCTCCCTGACAACTTCTATTTGAGTAGCAAGAGCCACTCTGGCTGTAACTTTTCATCAGCATGACCCTGACAGGACTGTGCAAACAGGTGATGCCTCCTTGTCAGCTTTTCCTGACTTCCAAACTTCTGACACCTCCTCCCAAGCTGAGGCAAGAACTCCAAACCCACCTCGCACCCCATACCCTGCACCCCTTCTTCGATGCACCAGCTCCCATTTCTTCATCTGCAACCTGAGTGTTGGCTCACTCTTACCTCATTATCCCTCTGCTTCCTTTATCGAAGTTCTACTGATCCCAATGGGCCTTTGAAGTATGTTAACATGGATTTTTCCAAGGGAGTCCTTTCTCCTTTGGAACAGCTACACTCATTCATTGATGCGGATTCATCTCTGTTGCTTTGCTTTCCAGATTTTGGTCATTATTATTAACCTGCCTTGAGACATTCCTCCTGACTCTGAGTCTCCTCCCTACAGCAGAAATATCCAGAATAGTTCTAGTGAATGAATTTATGTTTAACAATACCATGAAATGAATTTGGGTTGGATCTATAATATAAATTTCAATATATTTATACTATATTGATATAAACCCACCAAATGTAATAATAAAAATATCCACTTCTAATTGTTATATATGTTATATTTTAAATAATTACAGAGTTTTTTTAAGTTATAATATTCCTTAAAATATAACACAGAAAATCAAGAATTTGCTGAATAGCATATTCAGGAATAAGTAAGATCAAGATGTCAAATTCAGGGCTATTATTTAATAATAACTCAGTAACTGTAATCCTCTTAATCAAGACACTCTTTTTTTTTCTTTGAGTACACCTGACGAATGATTGAAAAACAAGCTCTTTTATGAGGTATTGTGCTCCAAATCCAAAGCATTAATCATATAAAAGTTTAAAAATATAAAGTATTTGAAAATAAAATGTTTAATGAATCTGTCTAATGGCCAATAACAATTATGTACTACAAATGTTAGTACTTGAAATATTCAACTTTTGAGATACGTCAACTTAGTAGAAAAGAAAAAGTTATTACTCCTTAAAAAATTATTTGTGCTTAATTGTTTGCACTGAATATCACTTGCAAAGCAGGTGAAGAAGTATAATATCATAAAGGGCTGTGCATTTTATTTTTGCTCCAGATTGTTACTTACAGGAGCCCAAAAACGTTACTTTGAAAAATTATCAATTTACTGTGACAGATATGCTGAACAAATTCCAGTAACCTTTGTGCTTGGTAAGTATAGGTGACACGCAGACTGCAGCCACGCAGCTGTCTCCGTTAGGATGACACCGATGACTCTGCATGGGAGTGCTTCCAAGCCTCGAGGCATGCCTGCAAAGCCACCGCTTGCAATAGCACAAACCATCCATAAGGTTCGCCTTCAGGGCTGCTTTCGCTACATTAACACCAAACAAGTTTGAGGTAATAATCTGCTCTTGGACGATGAAGCTTTCTCTTCACTAACCTTCCACTTTTGCTGTCAATATTTGAGTTCTAATAGCTGCTTACTGGGTACCACGGCATTTGCCAGGCACAAATTACATTTATTTTTCTGGAGGGCAAAATCATAAGATATGGATAACAACATATTTTTACACCCCAATCCCAAAAAGGCTAAAATTCTGCTAAAAGCATCAGTGTTGACGAGTCTGCTCCAGGAAATTGCTTTACAGTTTTCCTGTTATTCTGCAGGGTTTTATGTCACTCTGGTAGTGAACCGATGGTGGAACCAGTTTGTGAACCTGCCCTGGCCAGACAGGCTGATGTTCCTCATCTCCAGCAGTGTTCACGGCAGGGACGAGCACGGCCGGCTGCTCAGGAGGACCCTGATGCGCTACGTCAATCTCACATCCCTGCTCATCTTCCGCTCGGTGAGCACAGCCGTGTACAAAAGGTTTCCGACGATGGACCACGTGGTTGAAGCAGGTATTGTGAATGGCCTTTCCTTCCTTGGCCTCCTCTCAGCGTAGATGGGAACGTACCCCCATTCCTTTGAAAATTCCTTTTATTTAGGTATTCAACAAGAAACATATATTGATTACCTACTATGTGCCAGAAACAGTTTTAAGAGGCAAAAATGAGTAAGGCACGGTTCCTGCCCTCAAAAAGTTTACTTCAGGGGGAGGAGCAGCTTGCAGTCACGTGGCCTTTGGGTAAATATAATTATTATAACATTTATTTAAACCATCTATAATATTACCTCACACTTTCTACCCCTTCACAGTTTGCTCATTTTCATGAATATTATTTCCCTTCGACATTAAAAAAAATGAGAATGGAAGGAAACCGATTCAGAGAGCTTATGATCTGTCCTGGGTCACACAGCACACAGTTATCATTCCGGCTCAGAACTTCTAAACTGATACTTTTCCCAAAACATAAGGAGATGCTGGTAGGACCCAGCAGTGTGGGTTTTTATCTGGGCAGACCCTGAGAGGCGGCAGTGACAGGCCGCCACAGTGTGGGTCTGCTGTCTCTCCTCTCCCTCAAAGTAGACACAATTATTCTACCTGGGCTCCTCCCCACACTCTGCTGAGTACAAACTGTGTTGGAAGGATGACCCCCCCGGGCATGTTAATGTCCAGTGAAGAAGCTGTTAGTTAAAGCAGCCGTCATTGGGTTGAGGGTTAGGTGAGATCATTCTCAGCATGTGCTGAGTAGATACTGGTCATTGTGCAGGGTGCTTGTTAATAGCTCCGGTAGCTTGTTGAAAGGGGTTAGTGAGTGTATAGAGGATAAAAGAATCATGCGACGATTCTATCTTTACACCAAGTATGCTCTCAAGTTAGGTTGCTCTGTCTATTCTCTTCCTCTGAAATGCCCTTGAGAGTAGTTGTTCTTTAAGAATAGTATTTTCTGTTTGTTTTTGGAGGGGGTTTTTCCTGGCTTTTCTTTGGTTCGGCTTTGCCTTCTTAGATGGACAGTGTAGACAGTGACTGAGAATGCAGAGGAGTTCAAATTCTTAGCCCACCACTTACTTACTAGTTGCATGACCTTGGATGAGTTACTTTCTATGCTTCAGGTCCCCCATCCATAAAATAAGTTTATAGTAATTTATAATACCACTTATTTCATATACCTCATTGGCTTGCTGTGAAGATTAATAAGTTCACATTTACAGAGGGTTTAGGGACATACCTGGCACATGGTAAATGTCACGTGAGTTCTTGCTAGTAATACTGAAATCATCTAGTACAGCAGCGTGACATAGTCCTTTGTCACTTTAGAAGACTCATTTGCTATGGCATCCCAGGTCTCCTTGAACCAAATGACCAGAAAGTTGGGAAAGTCAAGGTGGAAATAAATAAGGAGGAGTCCAGAGGATACTGTTGGGGTAACAGATGTGAGAAAGTAACAGGGTGCAATGAGTTAGTTAGAAAATTCAAGTGGATGTTACTAATGGCCTGGCAAATGCACAGGTATATGTGTATTATGATGTAAAACCAGTAGGAACTTTAAACAAATTAACTACAACACCTCTTTCGAATTTAAAAGTTTAATACTTCTTTAGAATGACCAAGTTGAAAATGCTACGTGGTAACTTAATTTTCTTACCCTAATATCTATAGGAATCAAATGCAATAAGAACTACCACATCTGAAGAAAGACCTAAAAATAAATGAGAAAGGTTAGACCCATTCCGAAGTGATGAGTGAGAGCTAAACTTTACTTTGAAGAATGAAGGTGATGTTTCTCTAGTCCTGATGCATCCTTGAAATGAAGGGAGTGCATTCTGACAGGAACCAGACACCAGGCCCAATTCTCAGAACAGATCCTACCCTCTTAGCGTCATCTTCATATTAAAAGCAAATCAGGAGGAAGCCAGCCAGCATGGCTGGTGATGGAGAGGTCTGGGGGCCTCCAGTCCGACCTGAGCTCAGGAAGGCTGAGCTGTACGCAGATCCAGTCCGAGGGGCAGGTAGAGAGGGAGAGGTGAGTAGGAGAATGATGAGGTTGCATTTCCTTTAGGCGTAAGTTTTACAGTAATGAAGCTTATTCCCTGTCAAATTTGTGCAAATGCCCGTCATGTACTGTGTCTACCCATTTTTGCTTCCTAAGGCAGTTGGAATATTAGAATATTGGAATACCCCCAACCATTCCAAAGGAGTCTGGAATCAGTCATTCACTCCTAAGTGCATTTAGACTAGGGTGTCTGGAGGTATGATCCGGAGACCCACAGGCCCTTTACATCTTGAATAACTTGAGTGGTTTATTTACAATGCATGTTTCTGGGCCCCATCTCAGACCTACTGAATCAGAACCCGTGGATTTAAAGCCTAGGAAACCTGCATTTAAACATGCTTCTGTGCTGTTTCGTTACACACTGAAGTTTGAGAAGTGCTGAGTCTCTTCTGGGATGCTTATTTTTGAAAACCTTTTTCTCACCCCTGGGGTCAAAAGGTCTTGGCAACCATCAAGTAATTCCTTACTATTAACAAAGTAGCAAGGATTAAGACAGACAGTGAATTAGGTCCTGGACAGGTAGCTCAGTGGGTTAGAGCATCGTCCCAATACTCCAAGGTGCAGGTTCGATCCCCAGTCAGGGCACATACAGGAATCAACCAATAAATGCATCAATAAGTGGAACAACAAATCAATGTTTCCCTCTCTCTGCCCCCTACCCCATCGTTAAAAATAAAAATTAAATTTGAAAAAAGAAAGAAAGTGAATTCAAGGTTTCAGCCATGTTAGAGGCTCCAGAATTATAGAGGGGCTTTAGGGCAGCGATCTGGTCAGAGACTACTGCCCAGAGGATTTGAATCAGACCTGATTAAACACACAAGTATCATTCTGTACAAAGAGGCTGAAGGAGGAAGAAAAGTGAGGGGGATTGAAGGGGGCTAAAGCCTTTACAAGCGCCCTTTGGGGTCATCACTGATCATTGCAGGAAAAAGGTCCCTACTGCTTTCTTTTCATTCCTAAGTGTTTTCTTGCAAGAGCAGGAAAAAGGGTAGTGGGACAGCTTGTGCCCCCAGAGGCCGGTTAGTGTGTTAGATGGCAGAACAAAGGTTTCAAGCCATGGCCCTTGAAGCTGAGGGAGCCACTTCAGAAGTGGGGTTCTTCCTGGCTGCTCCACAGCCAGCCACATGGGTGGGCATCCACTTGCGTGGGCCCCTCTCTGTCCAGGGGCAGCATCGGCTCTCCTGGCTTCTTGCTTCGTTCCCCAGTAGAGCCGGCTGACTCAGTCTGCACGTGGGGTCAGTTTCCAAGCCCTCCCATTGGACACATGCCTCCGACACTCTCTGAAGGTCTTTTGCCTGTGCCAATGTGTCTGGGAAGAACAGGAAGTCCAGGGATGGAGTTAAATATTTGGCAGATCCCCTGAGCCCAGAGCCAGGACACCTGCCCTGCCGGAGGGCAGAGAGGGCCAAGAAGTAAAGTTCAGGGGCACCAAACTGGCGAGGGCAAAGGCAGGACACGAGAGTAAGGGCACAGAAAACACCTCTTGTCAAGTGACGCCCCTACATAATATCGCTTGTCTGGAAAAGTACCTGTTCTCAAATTTCAGTGTGCATTAAATATTACTAAAAATCAATATTGCTAAAAATGTAGATTCTAAAATACTGCCCCGGAGATTCTGGTTGAGTAGGTCTGGGGTCATGGAGATCCAGGGATGTGTATTCAACGAGCTTCTGGATTCTTTGAGGCAGGTGGTCCCTGGATCCCACTCTGAGAAACAATGGGCTTTAAGGTAATCGGGTTTCCCTCCAACCTCCTCTTGCTTCAGGGAGGGTCCCTGCCACAGAGATTCAGGGCTGGCCTGAGGAAGTAAGTGGGAGTGCAGAGAGAATGAAGAGCAGCATCTCCTTTTGTAGCAACTGGCAATTGCCAGACTAAATAAAGCCTGATGAGCTAGAGGTCACTCACCTGCTAACCCTTGAACTTTCTTTGCTTGTAAGCTGGATGGTCATGTTATTTTACTCTGGTGAATTAAAAGGACTGAAATGCATTCAACTGGGGGAATGCATGTGCTTTGATGTTACAGGTGAAATTTCTCAATTTAAAAATAAAAGTTTTTCATTTCTGCTCACAGGAAAATAGAAATATAACAGTTGAACGCTAAGTAATGTCTATTATGCTGAAAATTCCCTGAACTGGTCTGTTGTCAAACAGTTATTTAGCAGAAGAATGGCAATACAGCTGCTGTTATTTTGCTTATTGGCTACAAACCTGCCCTGGAAGAATCAAATTATTCCAATCACCTGCCTTGGAAGATGTCACTCACCCAAGTCAAGTCAGGTGCACAATTCCAGGTCTTTGCTGATTCAAGTACAGCTTTAATCAGGTGCTTACACTATAGCATGACACTGGATCGAAATATTCTATTTGCATTTCACAGTGATCAGGAGAAGAAAAGGTTTCTCTTCAAAATTTGCTCACCAGAGCACAAAGATAGACAATGGGAAATTATATATATTCCTCTAAAAAATTACTAAAGCAATTGCTAAATCTGCCATGTGTTTGCTCATTCAGCAAAGATTTATTGAGCATATACTATATGCCAGGGACTGTGCTGGGCACTAGAGCACAGCTGTAAGCAAGGACAGATATGGCTCCTGTCCTCAAGGATCAGTAAAAATTATTACAAATCTTTGCTTACATGGATCATTTTCAGAGACGAGCACAAGTATAGTCACAGGTAATTTTATATCCCTATATTGCATTTCTACTTCTCTAAAGTAATTTCTTTCCATGCCCATAAGAATGGTTAGAAGATAGTAAAATTTGAGGAAAGGGCATTCTTTACTTTTCCTAAAGCCCTGAAATCTTAACATGAATTTCCTTGAGGTTTTTCTCTTACTAGAAGGAGCTTGATGTGAGCTCTGTGATGAGAATATTTGTCAATGCTTATCGTTAATGAACATTAATACAACTAAGCAAGCTCCCCATGGTCGAGTGGCTATTGAGATAAAAATTTTTACTTT